AGTATCCCTAACCCCCACAGTATCAGTCTCCCCCACACACACAGTACCCCTACCCCCCAACACACACATGGCAATCCTACCCCCAACACACACACTGCACCCCTACCCCAACACACACACGGCACCCCTACCACCCAACACACACAAACTGCACCCCTACCTCCCCGCGCGCACACACACACACTGCACCCCTCACTCAGACACACACTGCACCCCTCACTCAGACACACACAGCACCCCTCACACAGACACACACAGCACCCCTCACACAAGCACATACACTGCACCCCTCAATGCAGTATGTGTGTGTGTGTTCAGCAGTATGTGTGTGTGTGTTCAGCAGTCTGTGTGTGTGTGTGTTCAGCAGTCTGTGTGTGTGTGTGTTCAGCTGTCTGTGTGTGTGTGTATTCAGCTGTCTGTGTGTGTGTGTATTCAGCTGTCTGTGTGTATGTATTCAGCAGTCTGTGTGTGTGTGTATTCAGCTGTCTGTGTGTATGTATTCAGCTGTCTGTGTGTGTGTGTATTCAGCTGTCTGTGTGTATGTATTCAGCTGTCTGTGTGTGTGTGTATTCAGCTGTCTGTGTGTGTGTACTCAGCTGTCTGTGTGTGTGTACTCAGCTGTCTGTGTGTGTGTACTTAGCAGTCTGTGTGTGTGTGTATTCAGCAGTCTGTGTGTGTGTGTATTCAGCAGTCTGTGTGTGTGTGTATTCAGCGGACTGTGTGTGTGTGTATTCAGCGGACTGTGTGTGTATGTATTCAGCGGACTGTGTGTGTATGTATTCAGCAGTCTGTGTGTGTGTATTCAGCGGACTGTGTGTGTATGTATTCAGCAGTCTGTGAATTCAGCAGACTGTGTGTGTATTCAGCAGTCTGTGTGTGTATGCATTGCATTTGTTGGAGATGCTAATAAATATAAGCTTAATTGTATCGATTTATATAATTATTTAAAATTTGTATCATTGAACTCTCTGTTGTGTTCTTCTTTTAAAACTAAAGTTGTTAATTAGTTCGGACAACCGTACGAGTTGTTTTTTCTAAACTTAAACTTCAGTATTCAGGTTTAATTGCCGTGTTGGCACTTTGAGGGGAAAAAAGTTGGCATGTATTGCGGTTTGGGCACTCGGGCTCAAAAAAGTTCACCATCACTGTACTAGAGGGTTGACCATAGACAAGAAACTAAATGCATTTTTTTTTCTTTTAATGAAAGAAAAAAAATATCCACTTGCAAACGTATACAACAGTAGTTGATTTATACAAAAATAAAGATTTGCATTGTATAAACAGATTATTAATACGCTAAAGGAACAGTTTCTAACTAAATCAATGTGAGAGAAAAATTAACTTAGACTTCCTGGTAAGTGCAAACACTTTCTTCTGACCCCTGAGTTAATTGGGTCACTCGGAGCTGAGAACACCATGGCATGTGTTTTAATAAAAAAATATAAAATAACGGTGTGAAATATCCAGTTCATGATCTATAAGAGGAGTTAAGCAATCTATGTTTGCCTACATTATTACATTTAAATCCCTTAGTAAACAAACTTAATTCACGCAAGGAGAACATTGTGTGCTCACTACTGGTCACTAACCTTTTTATTAGCAGTACAGCTCTGGAATATTCTGGATATTTGCAGTATGTAACACAGGTGAAAAAGCAAATACTAGTAAAGAAAAATTTACTGGAATACATGTACAGCTTTAAACGGATATAAATTGTAGAGCAGTGTGTGTATATATAGGGATGAGATAAAAAATTAAAATGATTAGATCCCAAAAGTGGGCAGAATCAAAATGCCTGGTCCCTGACTTTGGATCCAGACCTGAACCTTTTATTGTGTCTATGCCTTCCCTATCCCACCAAGGACCTCTGAGAGCCACCATAGCAACCTGGTACCTCTGTTCCACTCACCTCACACCTCTTCAGTGGTGTCTCACAATTATCAGACATCCCCTTTCTTAAGGGGTAACCTAAGAAAAGGGAGGTCCCAGAATTTTAAGGCACTTTCAGACAGCTGTCTCTCTCAGTCATCTGGCTTGTAAAAGGCAAGAATTCTAGAGAAAAGGCAACAGAATGCCAGCAAGCATTCTCAACTTGGCTCCTGATGCTGTATGCTGTTAACTCTATCCACGGCTCCCCAATAAAGCCCTTAGAGAGGTGTTTGCCAGATTGGGCTTTGTGGAAAGCTGCACTTCACGGTCAGCCATTCTGACTAGGATCTCATTCAGAGAACCATAAAATGGAGGATTGCATCTTAAACAGTAAAACAAGTATTTATTCTTTCAGGTCCACCACCCAAAACACAATACCCTTTTGTAAAATGCACTCTTCCCACATGATGTTACCCTTTTGTGGTCCTCAACTGTCTCCATACTCATGGTCCATCAATATAACACAAACAGTACTTTTTCTACTATTGTGGAGAATTTGGATTGAATGAAGGTATAGGGTGGACTCTTAAAAAGGCTTTTAGGACTTCCTATTACCACGGAATGCAAAATTATTCAGAGAAGAGAACATTCTGGATGTGGTGGTGGTGGTATCTTAATCCCAAGATATGGTCACAATCACTAGGGCAGTTTAGTAAGATTAGGTTTTAAAGTTCGTATACGGATTGTTTTTTTTTTTTTTTGTTTAGCTTAGTTTATGTTGTGTTTTATATTTTATTGTAAATGTATTTTTTTATTTATTTTAAGTGCACTTCTGTGTCAGAGAGCCTTGGCGTATCCCTGCATGTACAGTGGGAGTATGCACGGTGCACTTCCCTTGCCGTTGGTGTGAGGAATTTAAACCAGTGTGTTGGTCATTACATGTTTGTTAAAGATGCTATGTAAAATAGTGGAATGTGGTTAACTCTGTGTTATTTACTAATGTGAGAATTCAAAGTAAATTTCAAATATAAAGCCAGAATACCTGAACTGAAAGCATAGTTGACTTTGAGAACTTTTCGTGTTCATATTTTTTTGGCTTAAATTTGAAATTCACTTTGAATTCATCTTGAATTCTCACTTTAGTGAATAACTATGTCTGCAAAGATTTTTACAAAGAAGCTATATGATTTTGTATTTTTATTATTCTATGAAAACCCACAAAAATGGATAGCTAACAGTCCATATACTTACTCTATACAATCATCTTATGATATAGGGATGTATTTTCTGCATAATCAGCAGATGATGATCCTCATGCTAAATTATTGCACTGTATAGAATCTGCTCTCCATGAGAGTTTACAAAGGACTGGTGAGACTGTTATCTTCTTTTCCCAGTCTGTTATTAATTGTCAAGCTAAGGATTACCTTATCTCATTCTCAAGTACATCTATAATGGAAAGGTTACTCAGGCCATTGGCAAACAACTACGATGAAGAAATGTGTATCCAATGAAGTGCCAACATAATAATGCCCAATAGAAAATAAAGTGATTCAGCAAACTATTTTAGGAAGGGCATCAGGGGGGCTGGCAGGCTGACCCGGAATAGGGCCCCTTTATAATTATTAGCCACGAGTCCAAATCCCAAGTGACAAATTATTAATGGAAAATCAATTTGGAGGTGGTGTTTCTCTCTCAATATTACATAATATTGAGAGAAATAATACTACCTCATGCATCGTTTGGAGAAGATACAACTATAGGTGCTCACTACATACTATAAAGGAGGCGGCAGTAAATCTTACAAGGGTCTTCTTGAGGCTTTGGGCCCACTGAGGGAAGAAGGTGGGGTGCCACCTATATTAGCACCGCTGCACTCATATAGAGCCTTAATTTTCCTCTCTTATATTCATTTTACTTTATTTATATACCAGTACCATCTGCACTAGTATTTCTTCTGTGTTTTATCCACTTTTAATGTATTCAAGTACACCAGAATCTTCATACTTGATTAAAAGTGGTAACAATTATTGCATTCCAAATAGCACTAATCGCTCCACCCATTTATGTTTAGGATTATATCTTGATAATTGTTTGTCTGGTTTAATAATAAGGTTAGGGGGAAAGGTATTCCCTCACGGGTGTATTAGAGCAACTACTATTTTTTTATTTACCTTTTTTTTTTTTTTAATTCTTCATTTGTATCTTTTTTCAGTTTCATTTATATGGGTAGGGTTACAGAACAAAGAAGAAGCGTTAGGTGATTTAATCGCATATTACAGTGTACATATATGGTTACATGAATTACAATCGCTTAGTATGTTACCAGAGGTTTGTACATTTGTGGCGTTTGTTAGCTTCTGTGCTACCTCGTGTACTGGAGTTTTCCTCTGGTCCTGTTCTCTGTCGTAGTTCTTTGTGTGCCGTTTAGCTACTATTTTTAAGACACTTTTAAGCGCTATTTCACACACTCACTCCTTGTGAGCTCTACTTTTATTTAATGCGCCTTTAACTGCGCCTGATAAAAAAAAAAAAATTAACCCTTAAGCGTAATCAGCCAATAAACATTTATACATACATATACCAAACTGGGTGCGGGGCCAGGCCGCCATGCGGACTAGACGCATGGAAGATCAGCTCCTGTGATATTCTGGTCCCAAAAAACAGCCTGGCTCCTCATCTTGTGCTGAGACACAGCAGGCAAATGCCCTAAAGGTGCTGTCCCTAAGAACAGGCCAGTAACTCAACTTTTGGCCCCTATGGGGGAGAAGAATCTCTGTGACCGAGGCCTACCCAGGTGGTGAGTGGGGTGGACAGCCGCCGCCCTGCTATCCTGCCTATCTGTAAAATACCAGTCTCTCTGCTCTGAGTGGTGCTGGCCCTGCTCCCCCCCCTTAAGGCTGGTGGGGGTCATCGGAAGTCTCCTCTAACTTTCAAGATGGCGGCTGAGCCTAATGTGAAGGATGCAATCTTCCTCAGGGCTCTTGACGCCCGTAACAGGCAATTCTGGGTAATATTAAATGAGCTGCACAGGGCTCTTGAGGTCTGACCAGGAAGTGCTACCAGTCAACAACGAGGATCCATGCGGAGGACGGCTACCCACAAAGTGATTACCACAGGGAACAGGCGGCATGCTGCGAAAACCCATGAGGCTGAGCTACATCATCAATTACCGCGAACCGCCTAAAGTTTCTGCAAAACTCCATCTCCTCACCACATGCAGCTCTTTCAATACAGCTCCCACTGCATTGCTACCACCTGACATCAGAGGTCTATCCACTCCTGGAAACAACTTACTTGTGATAGCGGCAACTGGCCTAAGAGTGAAGCCGGGGACTGTGTCATGCTAGTGAGGGGGTTCAGCTGATCCCTGCTTGGGGACTGGGGTTGCCTTTCCACGGGCTAATGAGTAGCTATTCTGGGGGATGAGCTTACCTCTCCGACCAGCTACGAGTTTCCTTTTTGGGATCCAGGGTCCTTTATTTAATGTGGCATGCTCCTCTTTAGTTATTATCTGCTCTTCTTACAAATGCCACTCTGTTTAACTCTCTCTTATCACGAAACCCACTATATGTTTTACAAGCATGAATATACATCTTGAAATACTTGAAAAAAAATGTGCAGTGATTCTGACATATGTTCTACTCTACTAGTTAATACTTTCTGATTATACCCTTTGCAATGTCTCTGTTCATCTGTGAAAAAAAAATACATATACCAAACTGGGATTTGTGTAATATTCGATATCTAAAAAAAATAAATAAAAAATAAACACAATAATAGTGCAATATGTTTCCAGAGATAAAACCAATACAGTTGTGTGACAAAAACACACTCACACTTTTTAGAGCTTCTAAGAGCTCTGCTGTATTCAGCGTGAATGGTATAATCCCTGTCTTCAGATATGTGATTAACAGTAGTGGTGGTGTTTCTTCAAGAGATACGATGGTATGTGGAGGCAAAAGATGGATATATCCAATGGTGCAGTTTGAAAAAAATTATGTAGAATAAAAAGGTAAGTATCTTACTTACATGGTACAGAGCATGTACCTGCTCTGGTGTTCTGGAGCTTTTTACCTTCTCTGTCACTATACACCACTCCTTTTAGCATGTAGCTCATTGAGCAGGGCCCTCAAACCCTCTGTTCCTGCACGTCCAACTCGTCTGGTTACAATTACGTGTCTGTTAGTCCACCCATTGTACAGCACTGCAGAATTTGTTGGCTCTTCATAAATAATAATAATAATGGCTGTCTGCCAATCAATGTGTGAATAAGTGTTGACAATCCCAAGAAAAACTTCACTACTGCTCATTCAAATAGTTTAAAACCAATATTAGTCACTCCAATAAAACCTTGGATCCAACGTACAGTAGTTTTCAGCTCCTAGCATCTGCACACCACAGAATTGTATGCTTTTCCATACTTGGTTCAGGTGGTCAACTCTTTTAGGTAGTCCTGCTGTGTTTATTGGCTCAATATATTTAGAGTTTTCCCTTGTTATGTAATGTACTAACTTTAAGAGTCGCATTTACCTGCACTCGTTTTTTTTCTTTTCTTTCTCTTTAACAGTCCAATTTTGTATCGTTATTTTTCATACTGGAGATAAGTATTGTCAGTGTGTTGTAAGCTGTCCACCTTTTTTGTGATTTTTATCTCCCAACGTACTCTGTATAAAAGAGCTTTAATGGAATCTCCTGGCATAGCCCTTTTTGCCTTTTGTTTTGGTGTGTATATATTGTACTGTTTCTTTCCCCAATTGTAGAATACTGCAGAACATGTTGGCATTTAGAAATGCAAGTAATTATAATAATATACCAGTTCTGTTGTTCTTGTATGTTAAATTTTAAATTAAAGTGGGTATGGTGTATATTAGGCATCAGCACATTTTTTCCCATAAGAGCTAGATACCATGTCTGTAAATGGACAAAGAAGCCATCTTTAAAGGAACATCAAGCAATGTTCATAATAAAGATATAGACATCAGGTAGCGATCTACTAAACAGCTAAAAGATAAAAATCTTAAAAAGCCTTACCTATGCATCCTTATGTAGCATTGCCATATTTAAAGGAACACTATAAGGTCAGGAACACAAACGTATTCCCGAACCTATAGTGTTAAAACCACTGTCTAGCCCACCTGGGCCTCTCATGCCTCCATAAATATAACAAAATCTTACTTGTATTCAAGCCTGAAGCTGTAGGTCTGCATGCTGTTTGCCTCAGAATACCAAGCTGTCTGCTGACATCATCAGACGTGGTGGCCTGATCCAATTACAATGCTTCCCCATAGGATTGGCTGAGACTGACAAGGAGGCAGATCATGGCCAGAGCCAGCACAATTCAAACACAGCCCTGGCCAATCAGCATCTCCTCATAGAGATGAATTGAATCAATGAATCTCTATGAGGAAAGTTCAGTGTCTGCATGCAGAGGGAGGAGATACTGAATGTTTGGATGCATTCTAGGCTGCCATGACCCAGGAAGGATCTCTAACAGCTGTCTGAGTGGCCAGTGAAGCTATCACTAGGCTGTAATGTAAACACTGCATTTTCTCTGAAAAGACAGTGTTTACAGCAAAAAAGCCTGAAGGTAATGATTCTACTCACCAGAACAAATTTAAAAAGCTGTAGTTGTTTTAGTGACTATAGTGTCACTTTCAGTATACCAAACTAGCTATACTTACGAAGAGAACCTAGCCATTCGCATATCCGACTGATCCCACTCAAAACGGTGATCCAGAGCCAAAATGCAGACTGGCTTCCTCTGCATGACAGATAAACCCCAGACGATCGTTTCGGCCTTGTTTGGCTGCAAACGTGAGGTATAGCAGATATCCCTCTAAGCACAATGAGCAAGGGGTCCACATCTAGATTACCTTTTAAACTTGGGGAGAGCAAAAAAACAATGTGCAAGAGAATGCTGAGAATGGTCAACAGCTCAAGTGGCTTGCCCTTCTGTGGGTCCCTGCTCAGATCTCAAGCTGTTTTTTTGCTCATCTTGTGCCATTACAAAAATAACTTACTCAATATTTGCACTTTTTTTTTTGCAAGTTTAAAAGTGTACCTTTACAGGGTTTCTCCAACTCTTCTTGGCAATATATAGAATAATGCCTAAACAAACACTCAAAGAGTGTTTTAGTTAAAGTTTTTACATGCCTCAAGCCAGCGCTGGGCAAAGCTCCCTGGCGCTGATCAGTGCACACTCGTCTGATGTTACGAGAACCATGCAGAGGACTAGTCAAAGGTTTCTCATAGAGAAATCTGTGATTCCACAGAAGAGTTCAGCGCATATGCTATCACTTAGAGCCTGCAAAGGGAGGGTGAAAGGGAGCAACGGAAATTGAGTGTAAGGGAGGGAATGGAGCAGGAGGGTGGACGGGGATTCAAAAAATAACTGATGGGATGTGTAGTTTTTGGGATATGTATAAATTTTACTGTGAGTTGAGACAAAACAATACATTGAGTGCCGCAGTGCTTTCTTCCCCTTGGCTACGAGGATTTTGCTGCAAAATCTTTCTAGCTGTGTGTTATTGTGCACTGAGACACAATGTACTGGGCAGCTATATCTAAAAGGCACTCTGGATCATCAAAGTATCTAGACCTTTTCTAAATACACTGGAGTCTAGTCATGGACACCCAGTCCCTTCTAAGTCCTCTAAACCCCCTGCTGCCTGTAGATGGCTGGGGACTGCATTGTGTGTATGTTGAAGACTCAATGCTAAAGGACAGATGCTATGATCCTGATAAATTCTATCATAGTGTACATCCCAGCATTTGTGTGCAATCTGCACAACATATCAGATTAAAATGGTACATACCCCTTCATATACTCATATACTGAAAGATAACAAGTGGTACATATGTGTCACTTTAGAGCTAGTGATTCTATATTAATAAATTATACATATGTTAATAAATAAATACATATATTCTATATATAATATGTCAGCCAATAAAGTACCACTGTGGAGACTTGGTATTGACCAAAATTGACGTTGCTTTAATTAAGTAGCCAGTATAATAGCACACAAGACAGACAAACAAAATCAATGTTTCAGTCCTCCTCGCCTGAACTTTTATCAAGACCGTGCTACACCTAAATGGAAAAGTTTAAATACATGCTTCAAACTCAAATTGAGGAGGAGGGTGGAGATGTCGGTGTGTAAAATTCAAAGTGAGGATTGGGTAGTTGCCCAGGAAACCAATAACAAACCTCGATCCCATTCAGTGGAGGTAGGAAAACCATCCAAGTGCTGTGTCCAAACACAAGTGCAATAGGTGGAAATGGATTAGAAACAAATCAAACTGTGGGATTAAAATGAAAACCAGAGGTCTATCACAGGAAATGGGAACTACAGGTGGTACTTGAAAAATGAGAATATCGTGCAAAAGTAAATTTATTTCAGTAATGCAACGTAAAAGGGGAAACTAATATATGAGATAAATGCATTACATGCAAAGCAAGATAGTTCAAGCCGTGATTTGTCATAAGTGCGATGATTATGGCTTACAGCTCATGAAAACCCACTGATTGATTTGTCAGATATACCATCCAGAAAAGCCGTGAGAATTGAGGAACGATGGCCCCCAATTCTCTCCCGTAATTCTGTGTAAGTTTTACCTATGAAGGAACGTCTACATGGGCATTGCAATTTATAACAAACGTGGTCATGCAGGTGATGTGATGTCTAATCTGGAACACCTTTCCTGTATGTGGATGGACCTTACCTGGTGTTACATGCCAGCTTAACACATTCCTGGCACCGGAAACACCCACCATTCTCCTCTCTCAGTGAATCCTGGTGGTTGTATGTTTGTACTAGAACAGGGGTTCTCAACGTTAGTCCTCAGGACCCCCTACCAGTCCAGGGTTTAGGGATTACCTGGGTGTGTCTAAGGTGTTTAGAAAAAGAAAAAAAAAACACCTTAGAGTCTAAGGTGTTTTTTTCCCTTTTTCTAAACACCTGAGACACACCCAGGTAATCCCCAAATCCTGGACTGGTAGGGGGTCCTGAGGACTGGGTTGAGAACCCCTGTACTAGAAGATCCTTTAAATTATGACTCCATTTGTTACTCATACAACTTGTGGTGTAAGACTGATTTCAGGGTCCCAGATTTAGTACTGAACATCTGGACACGTCATTTGAAAGGTCTCTACTGGATTTGCCTGTTTCTCATGGTATTTGATTCCTTATTAATTTAGCGCAGTCAAATTATTAATCTAAAGGCAGAAGTGGTCGTGGTGATTGGAGTAGCCCTTCAATGGGGATTAAATTACAAATTGTTTAACCCCAGAGTTGTCCATACGGCATCTATCCATTCAGACCTTCTTCCTTTATTTTTTTCCCCG